TGAAGGAGGAGTAAAAATAGTTGGAAGAAATATCAATAATTTAAGATATACAGATGATATTATCCTACTGGCAGAAAGCAATGACTTTTAGTGAAAGGAAAAAAGTAACAAAGCAGGACTTCAGTTGAAAATTAAGAAGACAAAAGTCATGACCATATAAGAATTACACAATTTTAATGTTGACAATAAACAATTTATATATCTTGTTTCAATCATCAATCCAAATGGAGACAGCATCCAAGAAATCTGAAGATTGAGACTTGGAAGAGCAACAATGAAGAAACTAGAAAAGACTATTGAATGTAAGGATGTGTCACCTTACCAAGATTATCCACACCCTTAGATTGACTGAGAGGTGACGGAAATTATCTCTATTTAGGATGCTAACGAAAATAAAGGAGTGGAGGAGGGGGAGAAAGACAACATTTTGCAACACTTTTAAAGACCAGCCGATTTACTTCAGTTCAGACACAAAAGATCACAAACATATTCCCCTCTATTTATTCCCATTGTGGTAAGATTCATGTCCAGGCGTGGAAATGGATAAAGTCTGTAGCCTCATTCGACTGTCTTGAAGGTAGGAAGCAATGAAGCAAGGCAGGGAAAGAGAAGTGTTGGGCAGAGTCCCAAGAAACAAGAGACTAAGAAGATCCTACGCCAGGACCAGGAATTTAGGAGAAATATATCTGCTTAAACTAAGAAAAAAAGTAATACACCTAGGGCTGATCTCTAGGAGGCGTCAGACCTTTTAAAAAGTCATCTCAAAGGAAAGTTAGTGATGCTTCATAAGGAGGCTTCAAGGCAACTTTGGGAGGAGACAAAAAACAGCATTCAGGTCCATACTGGAATGAAAAATATGGTCCACCTCGTATCTTCCTTATGGAATTTTTGGGACAATTTGCTAAAGCTACTTACTGCCACCACAAAAGCATAAGCTTTCTTTTTCTTATCTAATTCAGACTTGATCATAGTCTTGACCACCTGGATAATTCTTTTTGCTGGTCAAAGTATCAAAATATAGTAACATAACCAAGGGCGTCCACCTGCTCACTGCTGGGAGATAGGGGGGTGCAGGTGGGTCCTCTATGTTTAATCACTTTGGGTTGATAAAAGGTATTTTCTCAGCAGGAATTCTGGCCATAACCATTACCTTGTCTGGGAGCTACCTGCATCCAATATCCACTGACTACACAATCTACAGTGAATGAGACTGTTTATACAGTAGTTTTATTTCCTTTATTTTTCACATCTTAAAGGCTGATTTGAAAATGTGAAAAGCAAATCCTTGCTTTTTCTCTTTTTTTTTCTGAATTAAATCTACAGTTTCCGGGATTGTGGCCTCCAAAAACTTCCTTCCAAAAATTTGTTCCCCCTTATGGATTTCAGGGAGCATATTGAGGGGCACTGCAATGTATATACCATACTTTGCCTATCACTGTTTTAATGACAAGAAAATGTGAACTGTTCAAGAAACTTAAAGAATCATTCTTATGAACTGAAAGAACCTGGGATCAGTTAACACTCTCATTTAATGAAATTCATTGACAACTCTCTTTCATTTCCCAAGAAAGGTATATGCTTAATCTATGGAGTTATGAACACAAATTCTATTTATCTTTTTTAAGCACTGTCACAATGACGACCTGAAAAAATGAGGCCAGGGTACAAAACAGAACCATCAGGGGATTCATGACTGCAAACTAGCTTCCTGACTTTAATAAAAAGTTGGTTGAGAAAATTTGGAGCACGGTAACTTGTACTAGTCTAAAACATGAAAATTGTCAAGGAACCTTGTTTGAAGACATTACTACAGTAACTATTTAAAATACAATTACAATTCTGGGAAATCTATCCTTAATTTCGAGGGTGTAAAGATACAAGATGTTTAATGTAATTCACAAATTTAAACATTTTATCACCAAAATTTTAATTTAATTTAAAAATAATAATGTAAAAACATCAAGTCTCAGTAATTACAAATCATACAATATTCTAAATTCTACTTAAATAATATAGATGAACAGTACCTCTTCCTAACAGACTATTTTGACACCACAGAACTTTTCCTCAATCATTAGTATCAAAATATAGTAACATAACCAAGGGTGTCCGCCTGCTCACTGCTGGGAGATAGAG